ACTGTAGGGCCACGCAACGCTGTGCTGGGTGGTGGCTGACGCATGCGGGCGACGCCACTGGGACCGTCGGTGGAGCTCCCGTGGGGACCACGAAACGCTGTACTGGGCGGTGGCTAACGCATGCGGGCGGTCCCACTGTGGCCGTCGGTGGGGTTCCCTGTGGACAACGAAGCGCTGCACGCACGGGGTGGTGGCTGACGCACGCGGGCGGTCCCACTGGGACTTTCGGTGGACCTCCCTGTGGGGACAGGAAACCCTGTACTGGGTGGTGGCTGACGATGCCCCTGGGGCCTTCCGTGGAGCTCCCTATGGGGCCACGAAACGCTGTACTGGGTGGTGGCTGACGCACGCAGGCAATGCCAGGTGGGAGCTCCGGTGCAAATCCCTATGGGGCCACGCAGCGCTGTACTGGTTTGGTGAAACGCTAGGGGGAGGGAGGAAAGAGGAAGGGGAGGAGGAGAGGGAGGTAGCAGGAAGGAAGGAAGGAGGAACGCGGGGACCGTCTCTTCAAAACGAGGAACCAACACCACATAATGGTTGGAGAAAACGAATAAAACATTGCGCGCACGCTCTTGCAATATTTTCGGGGAACCATAGAACTCTCAACATGTTCATAAGATGCTACCAAACTGGCTTCGCGCGCGCATGTCGAAATCGTTCGAACGCCCTTGCGCGCGCGCCGTTGCGAGAGCCCGCTGCAAAAAACGGAGGGGAAATGCACGCGCGCGCGTCGTCGCACGCGCATGCCGAAATCGCTCAAAAACCAGAGGTTTCAGAAGGATTTCAAAACGGAGTGTCCCGAAAACAGATTAACAAGTATGGGTTCGCAACATCATGTGCAAAAAAGCTTGCACCCGCGCTCTCGCGAATCCTTGAAAACCACCAGTTTTTCAACGTGCTGGGGGGCACGATCCGTGTCAAATAATATCACGCAGGCCACTCTCGCGCGCCGGCCGCGCAAATGTCGAACTCCGTCGAAAATCTCCATCACCGACGCGAGGACGCCGTCATCGTCGCCGGCGTGATCAGCATCGGCGCCGTCACTGGCCGTGCCGCTGTTGCTGCCAACATCGTCACCACCATCGCTACGATCATCATTGTGTCTACCGTTGCCAACGTTGCCGTGATGCCACGCCCGCCCAAGCCCCCGACTCGCACTGAAGTGCCCGCTAGGATGTGCCCCGCGGTCGCGCCACCGCGGCCGCGTCGGCCGCGCCAAACTAGCTGACCGCTGCACGCGCGTGCATGCGCGGGCTGGCGCGGCCACAGAGATGCACCAGCCAGCGCCAACCACTCATCGCAGTCGCCGCCGCATGGATTTTGCAAACCAAGTTGGGGGTGGGTGGGCTTTGCTTGCACAACATGGGTTGCACAACATACATTGCACAACCTACATTATACCACATAAGCTGCTCAACGCTTTATGTGTATGTACATATATACACGTTTTGCATCACATGGGTTGCACCGCATCGCTCCCCCCCCGGGATTAACGGGACCCCTTCGCGCATTTCAATTTACATATGATTCTGCCCCATCGCCCATCCGAAATATGAGTCCCACCAGCCCTCTGGGCGTAGGTGGTTTAACGAATGTTGTCGCCTCTCTGTCAATATCCCTCCTTCCTCTGCTCCGGGGAGGGTCTTACCCCTCCCCCTACCCCATCCCCTGAGCCTGGGAGGAGGGGGGCGGCGAGGCGCTAGAGTCCCGAAGATGTCCCAAAAAGCGCCAGGAGGGCCTCAGAGGGCCCAAGATGGCCTCCAAGATGGCCCGAGATACTTCATCATGGCTCCAGATAGCCTCCGACATACCTCCAGGACGCCCCAAGACGGCTCCAAGACGGCTTGAGGTGCCCTCCGAGCTCCACAAGGGCCCCCCAAGAGGCCAAAATGGCTCCAAGACATAAGACAAATCAATGTGTTGTGCCTTCTCGCTTTTTCGCTTCTGGACTGGCCCGGGAGGCCCCAAGATGGCTCCAAGGCGGCCCAAAAGAGCCCAAAAGAGGAGCCCAAGAGGGCCCCAACAGGCCCCAAGAGCGCCCAAGACCGCCCCAAGAGCGCCTCAAAAGAGCACCAAGACTGCATGCTTGAGCCTCCCAGGGGCCTGAATTGAATTGAGGTCCCCCCGCCTTATGAGCTACGGAGGCCAAGACGGCCCCAAGAGACCCCTGAGACCCGCCCAAGAGCCCCAAAGAGGGCCCGAAGATGGCGGCCCCAAAAGAGACCCGAGAGGGCCCGAAGAGGGCCCCAAGAGGACCAGAAGAGAGCCCCAAGATGGCTCCAGAAGACCTCCGAGAACCCCACAACGGCACCCTTCACTCGCCTGGCGAACTGTTTCCAAGAGGGCCTCAGGAGACCCCAGGAGGGCCTCCAAGATGGCCCAAGATGACTCCAGAGGGGCCGAGACTAGGGGGCCACATGCGAACCCTACCCCTACCCCCCCACGATTTCTGAGGGGGAGGGTGGGGTTCACCTCGCTCGGGAGCTCCCGAACGAAGTGAACCCCACCCTCCCCCTCAGAAACCGTGGGGGGTAGGGGTAGGGTTCGCATGTGGCCCCCTAAAGACAGCCTCCCGCACGATCGTCCCAACTCTCCTGGCCCTCCTGGACGCCCCCGACCGTCCGAAGGACCGACGCCCCACGGAGGCATCCCAGACGGAGAGCGCTCCGAGGTGGCGGGCCCAGGAGTGGAGAACACAGGGGCACCCCCTCCTCCTCCTCCTCCTCCTCCTCCTCCTCCTCCTCCTCCTCCTCTCCTCCTCCTCCTCCTCCTCCTCCTCCTCCTCCTCCTCCTCCTCCTCCTCCTCCTCCTCCTCCTCGTCCCCCTCCTCGTCCCCCTCCACCCCTCCTCCTCCTCCTCCTCCTCCTCCTCCTCCTCCTCCTCCCCTCCTCCTCTCCTCTCCCTCCTCCTCCCCCTCCACCCCCTCCTCCTCCTCCTCGTCCCCCTCCACCCCCTCCTCCTCCTCATCCTCCTCCTCCTCCTCCTCTCCTCCTCGTCCCCCTCCACCCCCCTCCTCCTCCTCGTCCCCCTCCACCCCCTCCTCCTCCTCCTCCTCCTCCTCCTCCTCCTCCTCCTCCTCCTCCTCCTCCTCCTGGGATTGCTCTGAACCGCCGTGCCATGCCCGTGCTGCCCAGGACCGGTGCAGGTGCACACCGACCCAGACTCCCTCCGTCGTGGTGTCCTTCGTTCGGTTCGGGCAGCCCGCCCCGGAAGGGGTCCAGGTGGAAGGAGGCTGTGCTTTTTGAAGTTTGGATCCGATCCGTGACAAGTGCGCGCTCGCATGATGTGGCTGTCGCAAACCACTCGCGCCACGACCTTGCACTGTCGTGGTCTTGCAGCATCCCGCGAGTTCGACGTGCCGAGGCCCGCCCATTTCGTTGCGAGGGGGCTTCCGATGCAGCCGTCGGAACCGGAGGACGCTCTGAGGCACCCCGCGTCCCCTGCTCGCAGGCTCTCTGAGCGATCAGGTCGGATCGAGGAGGGGGAGGAGGAGGGAGGAGGAGGAGGAGGAGGAGGAGGAGGAGGAGGAGGAGGAGGAGGAGGAGGAGGAGGAGGGACGGCCACGCCGCAATCGGCCAGCGCAGCAGCGCAATGAAGCCCGCCAGCTGCAACGCATTGCGACACCCGTGGGGTGCTGCAGCAGATCCGGGGCGTGCAATATCTATGTTCGGGGGCGCAGGATGTAGTGCTCGATGTGTGGCACGCAGTGCGACCGTCGCGATACAATGTCATACCATTCTGCGGCGCTGCAGATTTGCAACTGCCCGTCTGCAATGCATTTGCAACTCTACGTCCGCGCGAGCTGCATATAGGAAACGAACTCTATACACCGACGCTTTTCCCGACCCTGCGCTGAAATTCGCACAGGAACGCGGATTCTGGTGTATACGGGATCCTGGTGTATACATTTCCCGGGACATCAGGGAAAAAAGTATACGGATTCGTTGTTTTCCCGGGACATCAGGGAAAAAAGTATACACCACACCACCCGGACGCCGTCCCCGACCCTCAAGAAAAGTCCTGGGATCGAAAAACCGCCCGCCACTGGTAATGTATACGTTCCAGTTTCCGAGCAGATGCAGCGCGCGTTCTGTGCCGGACAGCACACGCTCTGCCAGGCACGCCAGCTCTCGATGCGACTGTTGCCGCAGGTGGGGCGCCGAGATCTTGGAACAAATACAGCGAAGCCCGTCTACCCTAAGTCGGGCCTGTCCCCCTACAGGGGGATTGTGGACGAAAAATAAATTGCCAAAAACATACTCAAAGGATGCCCAAAAATACTTTTTAAAAAATCCCCTGAATATGTTTTACTATTCTTGAACATTCCCCCTGTAGAGGGACAGGCCCGACTTAAGTCTACCGTCTGTTTAATTTCTTTGCGTGTCCCGAGGCCGTTTGCAGGCGCAAGTTGCAACGAACGGCGGAAGGGCGCAATCACCTTCGCACTGGCACGTCTCATACGTCAGCGCCAGCAAAATTAATTTCTTGTACCTGGACCCCGTGTGGGCTGCCCAGACTTCACAAGGTGGGTCCCCAAAGACCTGGACCTCTTCTCCAGAAATGGCTTCTCATCCTGAGCCGTTTCTGGACAATCCCGGGGCCCTGTGAGCGCCTCCAAAGCCGAAAAGAAGCAAAACCGCTCCGTCGTAAAGTCTTCACAGCGAGAAGGTGTCAGGAGATGGCGGGGAGAAACGGACTGCGCTAATCCGGGGGGGGGGGGAGGGCCACGGCGTCGGCCGCCGCGGGGCAAACGGGGCGGCGAACCAGCAGCGGCGGCCCGGCTTTCTGGTCGACCTAAACGGCCGGCTTCGCGGCAGGCAATGCCAAAAAAAAGAAAGCGTCGCGTCTCAAAAAGTTTGCGCCCGCACAGTAGACCGACGTCGCGAGCCGGCTTTGCCGGGACCGCTCGAGCACAGCGCGCCGGGCGGATCGCGACGAAACAGGCAGGGAGCTGTCCGCATGACAGGCTCCCTGCGCCGTCCCGTGCCTGCGGAGCGAGCTCAAGACCTTTGCACGCTCGTCCCCGAGGCCGAGGACGTGGAGAGGGCGCGGGAGGGCGGGAGGAGGCTCGTGAGGAGGAAGGAGCAGGAGGCGGAGCCGTTGCCCGACTCGGGGGCGCGCCCCCGCCTGTCCCTGGACGGAGGGGCGGGGGGTCCCGAAGCGGGCCACAGCCAGGCGCGGCGCCCGCAGTGGCGCGAGGGGGGCCGCAGCGCCCGCGGCCCGGGCGTGGAGGCCCGGGCCGGGTCCACTCCTGGGTCGCCACCTCTACGGGGCGTGAAGACGACCACAGCCACTGCTTTTCTTCTGTTGCCGCCTTCCAGCCCGCAGGAACAGAGCAGTGGTTGTGGTCATTTTCGTTGAGCGTGGCACCGGGGAAATGACCACAACCACTGCTTCTTTTTCGGCTGGCTGGAAGGCGGCGCAAACAAGAAGCAGTGGCTGTGGTCATTTTCCCGTCCCGCAACCTTGACGCACCCATGCGAAGACCTCCCCGCCCCACCCCACCATCCTGGGGAGACCAACAGGTACCGATACCGCTACTCCCCAGACCTCTCCTGGAGTGCTTTCTGACCAGGACTTCGAGGCGAATCCAGCGGTGACGACGACGGAGGCCCAAGAGGCCCAAAAAGGGGAAAACGAGTGGAGAGTAGAGGTATGGGTGCCTTTTCCTCCTCTGACATTCCCCACGCAACCGACGACCTCCCCACGACCGCCCATCCACGTCACCACCGCCGACGGCAGCACTTCCGGGGAACGCCGACGCTCACCTCGGCCACAACCAGAACCAGATCAGCGGCGTCGTCGACACGGCCCTGTGAGGGCCCAGCGACCGCCCAGGAGAGGAGGGTACGACTTCCGGGTCCCGCTTCGAAGGACGGCAGGCGTTGTTCCCGACCATCCTGTGGTGTTGGGTCCTCATTTTGAAAACAACAGCGCCCTGCGTCCCTCACTCACTCCGCCTTCCGCTCCCTTCTCCCTCCTCCCATCCTCACCTCTGCCCTCCGCATGTCAGCCGTTTCCGCACACCCCTCACACGCTTAGTGGCCCCATAGGGAGCTCCACAGAAGGTCCCATTGGCACCGTTCGCGTCCCCGCCACCGATTTCAGCACACCTCTCACACGTTGCGTGGCCCCATAGAGACCTCCACCGAACGTTCCAGTGACACCGTTCGCATGCGTCCCCGCCGTCCATGTCGGCATACCCCTGAAACGTTTCGTGGCCCCGTAGGAGCTCCTCCGAAGATCCCAATTGCACCGTTCGCATGCGTCCCCGCGGCCCATGTCGGTACACCCCTGACACGTTTCGTGGCCTCATGGGAAGCTCCACCGAAGGTCCCAGTGGCACCGTTCGCATGCGTGACCGCCACGCATATCGGCATACCCCTCACACGGTTCGTGGCCCAATAGGGAGCGACACCGAAAGTCCCAATGGCACTGTTCGCATGAGTCACCGCCACCCATTTCGGCACACACACACACACAAACACCTCACACGTTTCGCGGCCCCACAGGGAGCTTCACCGAAGGTCCCAGTGGCGCCGTTCGCATGCGCCCCCGCACCCATGTCGGCACACCCCTCACACGTTTCGCGGCCTCACAAGGAGCTTCACCGAAGGTCCCAGTGTCACCGTTCGCATGCGTCCCCCGCACCCATGCAAGCACGCCCCTCACACGCTTCGTGGCCCAAGAGGGAGCGACACCGAAAGTCCCAGTGGCACCATCCACAAGCGTCCCCGCTACGCATGTCGGCACACCTCTCACACGTTGCGTGGCCCCATAAGGACCTCCACCGAACGTTCCAGTGACACCGTTCGCATGCGTCCCCGCAACCAATTTCAGCACACCTCTCACCCTTCGCACGCTTCGTGGCCCCATAGAGAGCTCCACCGAAGGTCCCAGTGGCACCGTTCGCGCGGGTCCCCGCCACCCAGTTCGGTACACCCCTCACACGTTTCGCGGCCCCACAGGGAGCTTCACCGAAGGTCCCGTCGGCACCGTTCGCGCGAGTCCCCCGCACCCATGCAAGCACACCACTCACACGCTTCGTGGCCCAATAGGGAGCGACACTGAAAGTCCCAGTGGCACCATCCACAAGCGTCCCCGCTACGCATGTTGGCACACCTCTCACACATTGCGTGGCCCCATAGGGACCTCCACAGAACGTTCCAGTGACACCGTTCGCATGCGTCCCCGCCACGAAGGTCGTCACACCCCTGAAACGTTTCGTGGCGGGTAAAGAACTCCACCGAAGGTCCCGGTGGCACCGTTAGCATGCGTCCCCCATGCCGGCACACCACTCGCACGTTTCGTGTCCTCTTGGTGAGCTCCACCCAGGGCCCCAATGGCGTCTCCCGCATGCGTCCCACGCACCCGTTACAGCACACGGTCAGACCCCTCTCACGCTTCGTGGCCCCATCGGGAGTTCCTCCGAAGGTCCCGCCCAGTGGCACCTTTCGCATGCGTCTTCTGTACCCATGTCGACGCATCCGTTACATGGTTCGTCGCTCCATACGGAGCTCCACCGACGACGATGGTTGGGTCCTTCGGCAAGGTAGTTCTCGTCGGGTTCTAGGGGCCATTTCTGGAGGCGCAGCACCGCAGGCCTCCCTGGCGGCCCTCACCAGCCGCTTCTTCCAGTGGGGCTGCCGGGGGGTCGAGGCCACGTCTCCACTGATCGGAGGAGCCAGTAGCAGTAGCAGTAGAGCTGAGGGAGGAGGGGGGAGTGGGGAGGGCTCGTCAGCAGGAGGGTGGAGGAGCCAGGGTGGGAGAGCCAGGCCACCAGCGCCTGCTCTCAGAAGACGCGCGACTACACTAGAGGCCTCCTAGATGGGGTCCGAGTAGATGGGGTCGGAGGATCGCGCCGTATCGCCGATGCATCGTCGACGTGGGTGATGCATCGGCGACGTCGGCATGGAGGAAATCGGGCCCCACATCGAGCCGCATCGTCGATGCATCGGCGCTTCGGCGCAATCCTCCGACCCCATCTACTCGGACCCTATCGAGGAGGCGTAGATACACCAGCATGACGCTGCTCCAGAATACTTTTAAGACTGCTGTTCTGCACCTCCCCTGGCGCAGCAGAAAAAAAAGGCGGCGGCGCGCAGGGGAGGCGGTGTTGGTAGGTGGATCCATCGAGATCTCCGCCGCCTCTGGCGGTGCGCGCTGCGAGCAGGAACGAGGCAAACGCAACGCACACCGCCAGAGGCGGCGGAGAGCTTGAGAGATCCACCTGCCACAAGTGCATGACGCTGCTTCAGAATAATTTTCAGACTGCTGCTCTGCACCGCCCCCGGCGCAGCAGACCAAGGGCGGCGGCGCGCGGGGGAGGCGGGGCGGGAGGGGCGACCTTCCGAGAAGGCAGGGGGGCCTCTTTGAAAGGGGCACACTCCTCCTCCCCCTCCTCCTCCTCCTCCTCCTCCTCCTCCTCCTCCTCCTCCTCCTCCTCCTCCTCCTCCAGGGCGCTTCAGGTGGGGAGTGGATCGTTACTCAGAGGCGAATGGCATCCACTTCTTGTGGACACATACGAGAGTCAGAGCGAGTTCGCACAGGGCGCGTCTGTTTCCAAGGATTTGTCCCTTCTGCTATGACACACCCGCATGGGCTACATAGTTGTGGCGGTGTGCGACCTCCTCCATGGGCACAAGTTTCGAGGCCCGAATCAGAAGACCCTGGTCTCAGACTGGCGACATTCCTTAGCATGGTTAAGGAGCCCTGGTTGGTGATGGGCGACTGGAGCATGCATCCATCTGAGTGGGCAAAGACATCCTGGCTGGAGAAGCTGGATGCGCAGGTCATCACTCCATCCAACGAAGAAGTCACGTGCAACAGGGGTCGCGGCACGCTCATCGACTACGTGATCGCGAAGAGCGGGATCTCTTCAGCCATGAAGCTATCAATCGTGCCCGAGGTACCCTGGAAGGCCCACGCAAGTCTGGTCCTGGAGATGAAGTGCGCGAAGATGGGGTGGTGGCACAGAGCGTTGGAAATTGCGAAGGAAATTCCCACGGTGAAGAGACCCACCATATCGCCCGACCCAGAGAGCAAGAGGCAGAGGAAGTTAGCGGAAGCTCGAGCACGCAGACAACAGCATCTGGACGATCATTTGCAGGAGGCTTACGAGGAGATGCAGCATCAGCAGGTTGAGGACATCGGGGAGGAGAGCGTCCCCTTCAGCATTGGTCACGAGGCCTGGGAGCAGGCGGGGATGATTGAGAAGACCCAGGCGCCATGCCTGGAGGAAAATCGGGAGCACGTCCCGCACTTCCTCCAGGACAGGGACAAACCAGCCAGGGACAGGCTGGCATCCAGCTACACGAACTGGGTGACGACGCTAGAGGAGGCTACCATCATCACGCACAAGCTCGAGCAGCAGGAGGCCGACAAGGCCAGGGGCAGGGCCATGGGCTACGCGTTCAGGTGGGAGCGGACGCGTGCGACCCCTGATCGCCCTCACTTGTGAGATCCAGTGGCAGAGTGGTGGAATGTATGCAGTACCCTAGTCAAGCGAGCGGGGGTATTACGGCAGTCTCAACGAATATCCAATGTACAAGTGGTCTTCCGCAAGATCGAAGACCTGATGAGCATTAATAACGTTACGGACATGTATACGAGTTTCCACAACGAGGACAAGTTCAAGTGCTGGTTAGGCATGATCACCATGATTTCAGATTTGGGCGACTCGGACTTTTCGGACATGCAGCATATGACAAATCAGTTTCTCAACAGAGCGATTGGCCGATCCCTATCGAAGGCGAATAAGAGTTTCCAGCAGTGGGTGATCCGCATGTGGAAGACTACTCCAGGAGTAACCCACAGGTGTACGCGAGGTGTGCTCGATAAGGCCGACAAGATCATTGGCACGGACCGCGTATTCGCCTCACCCACTGAGATGATGGACCACCGAGCGGACAAATGGCAGAAGGCGTGGAGCAGCAACAGCTTGAGTGCTGACAAGATAGACTATGGGCTGAGATACGTACGGCAGAGAGTCTTGCAGCAAGATCGCGAGCTGATCACGACAGAGCAGATTTACGAGACGACGGCCAGCATGAATGCGAAGAAATTGAAGGGCATTGACGTAATGGGGCCAGTGGAGGTACAGCGACTACCACGAGCAGGAGTTCAACCGTTGGGGTGGTTGCTCAACGAGACAGAGGAGGTAGGTATGTGGCCCCCACAGGTCAACCTCGTCATTGGGGCGATCGTCCCAAAACCGAGAGGAAGAGATACAACATTGGGACTATCACCGTGTTTGGCTAAGCTCT